CGGAGAGTCTGCGCATTCTTCACCTTCAGGTATTCCCAAAGGATTCCCTTAGCATTCTTAGGAAACACCCCAGGAGTTACATACTTCAGTCAAACTCATTCTAGTTTAAAACAGTTCCCACTACAGTTTTCCACTGCACCTCTGCATAAAACAGTTTACCATACCAATGTGTATGGCCACGACCATCCAGAAGCTCAGAAGCTGCTAGTTCCCATGAAAGGATTTATTATTGGTTTCTGTACATCAGGGATAGGAAGTGGCAAAAAGAAGCTCTAATCTTTTATCAACAATGCAGGTATGCATTTATTTATGACAATGTTTTGGTTTGCAGTACAACAACATCACCACCATCACAGATGACACGTTCTGCAAGTCCAACAACACGCGCTACATCCGCACGCGGATGGACGAGATCAGGATGGAGGGCAACCCCATTGTCCTGGCCAAGCACGTCAACGCCTTCTCCTGTCTGAGGATGCTGCCCGTGGGAACCTACTACTAGCACGTGCCACCCCACATGCCACACCTTGGCACGCCAACAAGGATCACTTCTCCCTCTGTTTACAAGTTCATATCCTCTCCCTTACTAATGCTCTTTTCCCTGCACACCCAGGACCGTTTGCTATGTTGCACCATTCTCCTCTGAAATAACCATTTCAAACCAGTCACTTTAGTAGCTATGGTGTCCCTCATGCTTTCACAATCTCTTCTGTTAACGAAAGTGTAAAAATATATATACATACATACACATTATCTCAACTTTTATTTCACCACATACTCTTTAGATAAAACCACACAAAACTGCTTATTCTCATTCTTTACCAGCACTCAGAACAGCCACCACATTTTACTTTCAGATAAACGCAAGATTTTCTTTGAGCAAACCAAAGAGGAAAAATACTTCTGAATTCTAATCCCACTCTTTTAATCTGGAGTGAAATATTTGACCTTTCAAAGTGTATTGGATGAAGATGCAGATGAGAGAAAGTTATTTTTAGAGACAGAACTCCTCACAGCTTAAAGCCATTAACATTTCCTTATAAACTTGATTTCTGGTAAATGAGAATAACTCCCACCTAGGTTTAGTACACCGAGCAACATAGCAACTGGAACATTGCAAAGATGTTTTAGATTTCCTTCTACTATTCTGCTTTGAAAATAACGTGTTTTATTTTTACACAATATATTTTTAAGTGAAATATATATGTTTTGCTGAGCTGTTCTCACATGAGCTGTTTTTGCAACACCAGCTTTCTATTTTAAAACAATGGTCTACATACAGCATAACAGACTCAAATACCTTTGTTACTAACTAATGATGTAGACCAAACCTTGGTTCCACAGCTTGTCCTGACAGGAAACGTGACAATACAGTTGAAAGCAAAGCTGAATTCATGTGTTTACCTGTAAATAAGTATGATTTCCTCTAGATGTCAAAGAAAGAGAATTACCCTTCTGTAGCACTACTTCTGATTATTAGGGAAAAATCAAATCAGACTTGGAAGTTACAAAGAAAAGTTGATTCCATCATTAATCTGAAATCAGAGGTAACTTCAACCATTTCACTCAATGACTTGAACCTAGGCAGTGTATTAAAAACACAAATTGACAGGTGCAGGCCTTGACACTCAATCTAAAACTGGCCATCACCGATAAAGGGCACAATGTTTTTAATTCCACAACTGTCCATTTCTGACATTCAGTTTCTCCCTTCCAATAACTACCACAGGTGTAAAGCCTCCAGACAAATGAATGCCAAAGGTGTGCTAGTTACTATTACCACATCCACTTTGTACTAATTTTGAAGCTAGTATGGATTCCTAATTAGTAGAAATAGTTAAGCATCAAATGCATGATGATGTATCACTACATCTAAAATATTGATTTTACAAGATATTTTGTATTAGTTTTATTTATCTTATTTAGCTAAGCCTTGATTTGTTAGTGCTTGTGTTATGGGGAATTGATGCCCACTTAATTCTGAACATATATTTTTTGCCCTGAACCCGTTACCCAAGAAAAAGAGCAACCCCCAATATTTTCCATTTTAATTTTATTTAGTGTACCAAGAAGGAAATTCCATTGTCTTAACTGAGAACAAAACCAAGTCCGGCAGCAATACTTGGTTTTCATTTTTCCACATAAATCATAAAACTTTGATGTTCCCAGCTTTTTAGCAAAACATAAAAAACAACTTCAAAGCATGTAAAAAAACATTCCAATCTCAAGCCAAATTTCTATTTGGATAAAAATTAAACCCATCAATTCTCTTACATCTCTTGTGATAAATGCCTAAGATGGAAAAAACACAGCTGTAAGTGTAATAATGTTGCATAAGCAGCAGCCTCTGATCTTATTCTCATCACAAATCATTGCTACTAAAACTCTTTTCAGTAAATCACCATAAATAAAAAAATACCAGTAAATATCACCAAAAACCTGTATATAAAAATAAATGCATATTTTTGTAGTATACACACACGTAAACATTCTAAGACCTACCTACTACCACACAATTTATTTTACATTAAAATGTTGTATATGTTTTTGAAATGTGCTAATTATCATCAGTAACATTAATTAATGCTATTAACACTTCGTGAGCAAACCAAAGTAGACAAGTGGTACCTTCTGAATATCTCATGCAGGCACCAAGTTCTCTGATGTGTTTTACTTCATTTTTCCCATTCACATCAAGTTAATCAAAACATGAAGTGAGAAAAGCTTCAGTAGGGAGGATTTCCACCTCCTATTTCTGTGACCAGTACTAATATCAAGCTGAATGTAAACCATTTTATTTTTTCCTATCACTGATTTATGTTCTGCATTTCCAATAAAACTTGAATTTTTTTCTTGTTTATCAGTATCAGTTTCAACAACCTGCTCTTCCAGACTTGCCAAGATGTTTCAGTCGTTCAGCCTCACAGCAGACTAAGATTAGAAGGTTACCTGCAGATGTAAATTCATTTTCCAGACATTTATTGTGACAATAGCAAGACCTGCCATACAGAATAGTTTGTGAACACTCCACTTGCTCCTTCAAAACCTATGTTGAATTGACCTTGAATTGCCATTAATCTCAAAACATCCAATATTACATGACGTACTCATCCACTTCTACATTCTCCCTTTCTTCTCAAGTACCAAAACAGGAAAGAAAAAATAAACTACCTTTGGTGTTTTTACACTACACTCCGAGGAAAGTATCAGAAACTATTTTTACATAGAAGCCTTGGCAATTTTATTTTTAAAAAACCCCATGCTAATAGAAAAGCTATAAACCCAAGACTCCCCCCCCCAACAGTTTTCTCTCCAAAACAGGGGAGTCTAGAGAGCAAGTGGGGGGGAAAAATAAATACAAATATTACAGACTCATTTTTAGTTTTGTGCAAGTATGAATATTAACAGGATAGACTCTTGAGTTGGTTTTATGCACATATTAACAATAAATGTCTAATTGCTTTTCCACAAATTACTAAAACGTTAAATTATGAATATACATTCTCCTTGGCAATCTAGTTATTTGAATTGTCAGATTTGATCTTTGGTCCTTTTATTAATTCTTTTATATTCTCTTTACAGAGAAAGTCTTCTGTTTTGAAATTAAATCATTAGCAATGCTAAGAAAAATAACCGTATGCACACAGTCAGTCTTATTTGGTAAATACTCTGCCAAACTGGTTTGTCTTTCAACTTTATCTTTAACCATGGAAATAAAAAAACTACCTTTAGAAAGAACATCTGTAATACTGAGAAACTTGTAATGAATTATCTTTACACATCTTTTAGCAATTAGCAGATAATTTCATTGTTTATGGTCAACATCTGAACAAATACTTTTAAAAACTGCTTATATAACAGCAAGTTGAAAATTGTCTCCAAAACTCTTTCCCATTTTTTTCATTTTTATTATCTTTTAAAATGAGAAATATTTACAACAGTTCACCAAATCACTGTCCCAGAAACTACAGCCACTACTGATCGAAGGATCAGAAAGCATCAAGGGAACCTGCAAAAAACAATTGCAGAGCCCTAAAGCTTTTGGTGCTCTACCTTTTCTGTGGAGGAATTAGAGAAAAGCCCTTAGACAAAAGCCAGCAGGATTAGGCAATGCCAGTTCATTGCTCAGCTGAGGACTGGAATTTTTTTTAGTGCTATCAGAAAATAGAACTCTGTTTTCCATTCTGGTTGACTGGATAATAGAAATTGATTAATTTGGCACAGAACTCAAAGGTCTAAAAGACTGAAAAAATAGGAAATTATGCAGTTCCCACTTGATACTACATCTGAAAAGTAAAGATGGTGTCAAGTTTAATTACAGTAAATTCTTGATGCATGTAAAACTCAGCCAAGAAACCACAAACAATTAAGCAGCTAAACATCCTTCTCTAACATAAAGCATCATGTAAGATGTTTTGTGTCTGTAAGACTGTAGTATTTTTACTCTAAGGAATTAGTTGCTTATCTTAAAACCAGCACAAAGCCAAAACAAACAAGCCAAATACTGGTAATTTAAAACTAAGCTCAAATACTACATTCCAGTTAGGAGGGAGCAACAGTTTATTTCCCACACCAGTAAAACACTCCAGAACTGAAAGTGCTGTCATCCAAACATACACTGACACATCTTCAAGAGAAACAGATCTAATCCTTCAAAACCAACATTTATATGCCAAAGACTACAAGTGTTATTTTCTTTTAATTTCTTCTTTTTCTTCTTTTAAATCAAAATAAAATATAATACCAAAGCAAACTGTCTTACTCCTTCACAGAAAGGCACAGTCTTATTTTTCTCCACTCATGAGGAACACAGCAATTGCTGCTCAATTGCCCCTCAAATACAGCACAAATTTTAGCTCATATTCTCTTCACCAGCACAAACAAAAGTAAGATCCTGTATTATGCTAAAGACAGCCATTTTCACTTCCAATGCTCTGTCATACTAAACTTCTTAAAACAATAAATATTGTACTAATAAATAAAGGCTTGATAGACACTACCTTGAAATGGTGGAAGGTGTGTCTACGATGTTCATGCCACTCAGCATAGGTTGAAAAGCTTCTGAAAAATGTTAGAAGATCTGCATGTTCTTCAGTGCTATAAAACAAAAACATATTGTTTAACCTAGTCATAATCAGATGTATCAATTAGATGGCCTAAAATTCACACTTAAAAAAAATTCATTAGTATTGTTAAAATATGAAGTAGAAATCACCCAAAATAAGAATTACAAAGCTGAAAAAAATAGCTGTAGTGTAATGATTGAAAAAGAGGTTGAAGAATACATTCCTAAACCAATGTTTCCAGTGTTTGTCTTATACATAAAATGTGGGAACAAAATAGTCACCTGCAAAATATTAGTTTGATTTTATTCTTGTTCAACTTGTTTTCTAAATAAATTCTAAGATGTTGCATAGTAAAACCCCAACCTGAAAAATGGTAAGATTTCCCAAACTGCATCACTAACCTTCAAATATTCCCAAAAATCTTTGTCCTAGCCAACTAACTCTACATTTCATGTTACCTGCCTCTGCCCACATGACATTCAGCTTTTCAAAATTAACCTTGCAGCTTCACTAGGAAAGGAGGCCTGATGACACAGGGCATCTCAACCAAAACTTTTGTCAGACACTTAAATCTTGATGTGATCTTGTCTCCAGAGCAGAGGTGCTTCAGCCCTCTGAACATCTTCCTCACTCTCCTCTGGACCTGCTCCAACCATGTTCCTTCTTATGCTGGGGGGGAGTGGGAGGGAAAGATAGATATAAATGTTTATTTTTTGAATTTCTAGTGAGAATCAGGATGAAGAAAGGAAGAGACAATATAAGGTGACAAACTTAGGCAGCAAATCACACATGGGGAAAAGAGGAAAAAAAACCTCAAAGGGTGTGCAGTTTTCACTCAAGAGACAATATAAGGCTAAAAACTTAGGCAGCAAATCACACATGGGGAAAAGAGGAAACAAAAAACCTCATAAAGGGTGTGCAGTTTTCACTGAACAAATGCAGCCAGAATGCAAAGGATGCAGAACTCCACAAAAACCACGTCAGAATATCTGAAGTAACATGATTATTTAAACATAAGGGTGAAAGGCTTTGTCATTGTTGATACGAAGTCACAGACTATTAGCCATCATCAACACACACCTGGCAAGCACTGTTTTGGAAGTACAAATATTTATTTTGGCTATTAATATAGGATTTTACAAGTTTACAAAACCTGACTGAGGAAGATACCTGACTGATGTTTGAGGATATTTCAGGAAGTTAGAGTATTTAAATTCTAATATAAGTTTTACTTCTAACATCCATTCTGAGATTAGCTATTCTTTTTGGATTTTCAGAACAGCTGAGAGTAGAACTCGAGGCATTCACAGAATGGCTGCAACAGTGGATTACCAAGTCAGTTCAGCCTTCCCAGGGAGAACTGTGCTTTCAATCCTGCTTTATTTAATATACAGAACAGCAAACCTTAACCAGTTACACAAAGAAACTGGAAAAAATACATTAAGGTCATCAGATATTGAAAATGTGAAAGAAAAGCCAAACAAGTTTTATCCCAGCCTGGAAAGAACAGCATCATTAAAGGAAGTTACCACAGTAGTCACAGCTGCCAACAAAATCAGCCCAAGATGAAAAAAATGCTGGCAGCACTGGGAAAAGTGAGTCCCTGGAAGGACACAGACATTGATTTACAATAGCTCACTAGCCCTGGTCTGGGAGCTGTTTTTAATCACAAATCTGAATTGTACATGTCAAAGTCTACCCATTCAATGGGAACTGTGGACCCTTGGTAACAACTGCCCACATCCATGCCTGGAGAACAGATTCCACACAAACTGCACTGGGCTTTTTCAATCTCCACTCGTGGAACAGGACAACACAAAGATTTGCTACCAAACTACACACTTGAAATTCTTTTTGAAGAACTTGGCAATTTTTACAAATATCCAAGTTTATGCTATTTAAGATACTATCACAAACACTGTGACCTTGTTTTAGCATGGTTTTTAGTTTATTTCTTTTTTTGCCTCAAAACCGTTTTTAGGTGATGCAGCAGAAAAAATTTCAAGGCTAGATCATCAACAGAAAGAAAAAGTTTTGGGTAGAAGCTCAACGAAGCAGTTTCAAATGTAGAAGTTAGTCAATCAATATATCTGAGGATGTACTTTCTCACATGGCACTGGCTAAATTCAAGATAGAAAACTGAATTTAGTGTTTAGAAAGGGGGAATATGTTGGCAAAAACAGCTGTAAGTAAATCCATATTGGCAAAATTTAAGAGACAGCATAAGAGCACCAGTTCAGTGAGCTCTCACAGCATCAAATCTACACATAAACACTAATTCCTAATTAGCCCAAATTAGCCTTGTTCCTCCTGCTGAAGTCAACTACAGCAAATGATAAAATACTAAGGAAACATGGTATAAAATAACAAGGTAGTGAGTAGATGATAAAATTCAAGTATTTTTTTTTATTTTGAAAGAATTTAGCATTACAAAAACCCACTTGGAGCAGAAAACACCTGTCTCCAATGCCAGCATCCATGTTACAGAGAAGTCATCCAAAACCAGCTAAAAGACTATTCAGGCAGAGAGTAACTCTGTCACATTAAAATCATGGGCTTTTCATCCAAACACCCTTTCACTTCCACAAAATAGCAACAAAACACAGAAGTATACAGGAAATTTAACTGTTGTAAGAGTACCTAAGCCTCCTTTAATGTGCTCCTTTATGTATTTTAAGGGAGAAAATCTATTTTAACTCACTGCAGAATGCAAGACTTCCTACATCAGCATAGAAAACCAAAGCATGACTCAAAGCTGGGGGGAGAATTCCTGCTGCCCTTCATTTCCAAGGGACTTTGTCCATGCAGCATTTAATATAATGCATATTTCCTAAATCCTGCACTCTGACTTATAGATTCCAACTAGTTAATAAAAAGTAAGAGCAATTTTCATATTGCTTAAAATCTCTTCTGCCTAAGTAACCCATGCAAAGGTGAACTCTGCCAACAATTAATGGGGTAGCAAGTCTAAACAAGGAAAAAGGACTGACAAGAGTTTTTTTAGCTGTTGTGGTTCTCAACACCAGTAAAGTATAACATAAGTGATAAGTGGTCCAAAGGGGACACACATGAAATCCAAAAAAAGACAAAATATTGTGATTCCATTTGCATACATCTGTTATTGTCACAAAATAATTAAAAATTTATATAAAAATATATCCACTTGTAATAAATGTACAATTCTTATATAGAGATGTACCATTTATATATTACAGCAGTACCTGCAGACTGCTGAATTTTGCTTCATTTAAAAATATATTGTTCAGTTGTTCCAGCATTCCCCTATTTTCTTCCAAAGCAGGAACTGAATGCCAGGTTTTAACTCTGCTGTTCTTAAAGACCATTTTCTGACACGTATTATGAAAAAAAAAAATAGCCAAAAAAAAAAATTAGAAAACTGGGGAGGAAAAAAAATCCCAGCCAGGAGACAAAACAGAATAGAACTAGACAATGGATTTGGCAAGACTGGACCAAGGAAGCAAGAGAAGAAAACAAACTGGTAGGGAGGCTGAAAATGAACAAAACAGCAGGAAACCAGATTCAGCTGGTCAGGAATGGAGGAAAAAGAAGGGAAGAGGTAGGAATTTTAGGAGCAGATTAAAGAACAAAGGGCAAGTTGGGAAAAGTCTGAAAGTGGACATGAGGGGATTGCAACTTGGAAAAAGAAACGAGGAGTAGCCCAACAAGGGGATTGAGAAAACAGGCCCTGAAGGGAGATCACAGACTCAATGGAACAGGGCGTGCTCTCAAACAGGCACTGCCAGCATCAGCCATGGACTCACTGCCTCACACTGGCTGCACACACTGTGGCCAGGACAAAGCACACAGGAAAGGTGAAATTTGAAGGTGTTATGGGGGAAAAAGTTTGGGTTGTTCCCCACCCCAAAAAGTATTTTTCAACCTATTGATCCCATTGATCCCATTGGCCATGTGGCTGCAAGGGTTTCTACAGACGCCAGGCCAACAGGTGGCACCTGCAAAGGGAGGCTCAGGAGAAAACACTGCCTGCTTTGTTGACATCTTCTGTCATTCAGGAAAACTTGTGCTTACTTGTGAGTACTGGCACAAGGTGAAAAAGGACAAGAGAGCAGTGATGCTCCAGCCAGGATGAAATAAAGTCTGCCACTACTTCAACACGTTGAGTATTTTATGACAGCAGAAGTGTATTGGAACTTAATAGTCACACTGCTGTCATAAATACTCATGACTAAAACAGGGCAATTTCCTCTTGTAAATCCCACTTCTTGAGAGCAGTCAGCTGTTCTTCCCAGTTTCACCACAAGCTTTAGTGGATTTCTATGGAAATCCCAAAGCCTTTAAGTAAAATAGTTTTCAGTAGAATACTGAAGCCTGAGGTAACTCAATAGCCCCCTCTCTTCACCCATATGTTGGCCCTTTCCCTCCCTCCCCCACCTAAAAATAATAGAAAACAAAAAAATTAAATGACTCAAATAATCAAATAATGGATTTGTTCTCAGAACAGCTTGCTAACAGAATTCAGTAGAATACTGCAAATAATTTGATCATTTACTCATCATGTTACCACAAGAAGTTGGCATACTTCAGAAAATAATTAAAGACAACATTAATTCATACATTTAAGTTTTAGTATGTTAGTTTTCTTAAGCCACTGCACAAATACACTACTCCATGTTTTTAAATTGTATTTTTTTAAGATATCAGTGAAATAAATCCTGTTGCCAATAAAAAAAAATAGAACTGAGACCTGAGAATCAGAAACAGGCAAATACTGGAGAGGGGTTCTGGATGTGCACTTTAGGCATCACCCACACTGCAGCTCACATACACATCTGAAGAACAATTATATTAATTAAAATGTAATAGCTCAGATTATCATGTTTCTTTTCTCTTCAAACAGCTAAAACACACTATAATCCAAAACCTGGCCCTGTTTAACATGAATTTGTAATGGTCCTTCTAGATCTTAAAAATCACATGTCTTTCATCTTCTCTCCAGGATACAGCTAAGGGATGGGAAGTGTTTAGGTTGGGCTAAGGACACATCCCATAAAGACACAGGCTGCCAGCAATTTACATGAAAACTCAGTACTGCATTTAGTATCCCATATCCCACACAATAACCTGCCTTGAGCAAAAAATTCCATCTTACCGTGACACAAACTTGCTCACATTTGAATCTTCTCTGGATTCCATTATAATGCTGAGATCACTAACAACAGCAGACACTTTCTCATTGTTCTAGATTGGAGAAGTAACAATGAAATATTTTAGAAATTGCTCTGGTGAGGAGAAAAATGTGTCTATTTGCATATAAAAATAAAGAAAAAATATAGAAAAAAGTAGGTATTAATGCTAACTACTATAAACCGTAAAATAGCATTTTAAAAACTATTTTTTTAATAGTTATTTAGTTTGTGTGTGTGAACAGTTTCTTTCACTTCAAGAGTAGCACCATTATCCACACAATGCTTTTGGATTAACACCTGAGTTTGTCAGCATACAAAAAAATATATATATAAAGGAAGGTTCATTACTTCTTTTCATATCAATCCCACTTCTTTAGGATTCTTCTCATTATCCAACACAACCTTGAGCTACCACATATACCAGAAAATGCACATATAAGATTTTATCTGTTAGTTTTGGGCTGTTTTTTTGAATTTTAAACCCTATCATTTGTCTCAAAATATTGTCCTTTTTTACAATCGCTGCTACTCAGAAATGTGTGGGATAGTTAAATTATTCTAAGTTAATTAATAAGCTGTTAAAAAATGAGAAAAGGTGGTCAGAGTAGAAATGAAGCCACAAAAGATGTTAATTCTCTTTTCTATGCATTCTCGAGCACACTAAAGTAATAGTGAATGAAAAAGCTTAAAATCATGGTTTGAATGTAGAAATGAAGTCACAAAAGATGTTAATTCTCTTTTCTATGCATTCTTGAGCACACTAATAGTGAATGAAAAAGTTTAAAATCATGGTTTGAAGACCACAGGAAATGCCTCACTTTAAACTTCTTATACCAAGTCACTACAAGCAATTGGGAATGGCAGGAGAGGACTACACACACATCTCAGCAGTCCCTGTACTGCTTGGACAGAAGCCCTGCTGACCCTGCCATCACTAAAGATAGGAAAAGCAGAGCAAGGCACTACAGAGATTAGTGGATGTACTAAATAACATCAGGAAAAATCATTTTGGGCTTAGAGCACAAGGTTCAGCAGGGGGATGGAGCTGTGGAGAAGCTGCCAGCAGTCACAAGCTAACATGCCACCTTCTGAAGGGACTGGTTTGCCAATGTGGGGGGTTACTAACATGCTAAAATGCCATTGTGGGGCCAAATAAAAAGATTTAAAAGGAAATCTCTGTGCAAGAAAGAAACTCTTTTTAAATGATTGTTTTCCCAAAAGGCTTAGACTTGTTTTGGCTGATTTTCAAGCTCATGTCCTCTCCTAATACTTAGTACTATGGAGTTGAGTTAACTCTATTGTGACTTCACTACTAGAGTAAATAGCTACATTTAACAGTGTGAAAAAAACATTCCTCATCTTCTGCTGCATACCAACAGATCTGTTACCTGCTGGGCACTTCCCAAAACCAGCTTTTACTCCTCAGGACAGGTGAAACTGGTTATAATAACTGCACAACCTTGTCCATGCTAATGTCAGGACAGATTACTTTGAATACGATGTACTTCTAGCAAACAACAAAAAAAATTAATGCAAAAATCAGCTCAAAATTATACTTTTACAGCTGAACTGAGGGGTTTTAAGTATATATATACCTGGTATTCCCTATCTCATCAGCATTCAAAGTAGCCCAAATTTCAGACGTTAGGCAGTCAAATGCTGCCACTCAGTGGCACAATGGCTTTAAGCACCAAAACCATCGGCAGTTAATTTAACACCCAGTAACCACTCTGAGCCCCACTGACACCAAAAGATGTCATCATGCTGCAGGAGATGCAGCTGAGAAACATTCTAAGTGCAGTTTTACACATGCAAATGTAAAGAGGCATCATGAAGACCACAAGTTTTAAGTCACAAATGGATTTCAGATGTTGCTCTGTCAGCTGAACTCTGGCAGTTCCAAAGGATAAAATCCACGTGTGGCTACCTAAATATTCAATTCCCAAATCCATATTATGGCTTTTCTAAAGAATAGGAAGGACATCTTTACTGCTCACTCTCAGTCCCATCTCATTAAATTAAAAAAAACCCAAACAACTTTAAAGCTGAGTTGAAAAATCAAGTCTTTGAGATGTTAGAAATACCATTACAAAGTACAACAGTGTTAGAAAAATGCTATTGCAAATTGAGGTAGAAACTGTTTTCATTTACTTGGCATCTTGAATTCTGTGCTAAGAATAGAGTCTTATGAAAGGGCTGCATTCCAGAAAATCTGCAGTCATTGGTGCAACTTGTGGCAGTGCTGCAATGACTACTCACATTAACCAAGCACACACAAATATAACCAAAGAAAAAAAAAAACAAACCCAAACCAACACAGAGAGCTGCTGAAGTTTGTAGTGTTTCAGCTTTTCCTCAGCTTCTTCCAGAGGGTAACATTTGGCATCTTCCAATTTCCAGAAAAAGATATGTGACTATAGAATGTGCTGTTTGGGATGAAATCTGTGCTGGGTCAGGGCCTAGTGGGCACTTGGCAGAGCTGAAGGACACCAAGTGTTCCTCAGTGTCAGTCTGCAAGAGCATCCTGCAGGGAGCACCTTTTGGGAAGGAAAGGTGATAAAGACCTGGCAGTACTGGGTTAACAGCTGGACTTGATCTTGAAGGTCTTTTCCAACGTAAATAATTCTATGGTAACCACTTCATGACTAAACACTAAACCTGACCTATCTACTAGCAACTATCTTGCTTAGATGGACACGGAATTCCTAAATTGGGTCCAGATGTTAAAAAGCCAAAAGAACACACTGAAACTTAGATGAAACAGTTGAAGGTTTCAGCTGGAAAAATCAGCAGTGACATTTGTCCATTTGAAGTTTGTTTGGTAGTTGTTTTTTATTTAAAAAATACATTGACCCTTACCTGCATTTCAAGAAGCTGGAATTCCAGTTGAAAAGGCAGGGAGTGACACCTCCCTGATAATCTGTGCTTCTGCACCGTCCTGTTTTGAGCTGTTATAAAATCAAGTTAACAAAGTAATAAATTACACTTCTATTCAATAACTACTGCATTTCTTCCCTTAGTCGTATTTGAAGTACCAACTGTTACCATTCCTCATGTAAAGAAGTTTAACATGCTAAAAAACACCAACAGCTAACTCCACTTTTCCCCTATGCAAAGCACAATAGTAGTCTGTCACTTTCCCATGAAGAAAAGTACAATATTTACTCAGAAACCATTTTGTCAATGAACTAAATCTTATTGTATTTCAAAGTAACTGTCTTTCTGCCAACAGTGAATTAGAACAGAGATTTGCAGTTCAACTGCAACCAGTATGCTCAGTGAAGGGCACAAAACTGCTTACTTTTTTCCACTGTTTTCTTGGAATGACTTGTGAAATGAAACCCAGTAAATTCCGTTAAAAATGAAAGATCTGCTTCTAGACTTTCAAGCTGAGCTTTCAGGTCTGATGGAGATTCATGTCCCTTGGTTCTTTCCTGAGCTTCTCTTTGGAACAATTTTCTAGAATAGAAAAAAAAATAAAATCAAGAGGGCAAAATACCCAGACATAACACATCAGTACAGCAATATCATTAAATAAAAGGCATTAGTAATGGGATCTGATGGTTTTCAGACCCAAATCAGTTTCCAGGGAGTCAAGATTCAGTTGGATCACATTGCTGAAAACAGTAAACTATTCTAACTTACATAAACTTTGTCCATTCACTGCCAGGTAGACACAACTTTTATTCCAAGTCTGGAGGTGCAAGAGTCCATTTTGAGAAATGTGCAAAAACATGCAAGGAAAGGGAGCTCAGATGCCTTTACTCATATAAGTGACTCATTTTATCCGTGGAGTTTCACATTTACTAATATAAGGAAAGTCCTAACATAGAGGCAAAAGCTTATCCCAAACAATTTTGACAAAGAAATTCTATTAATCCAACAAATGAAAAAAAGCATACATTGACTTCAGTATCTCCTCATCAGAAAAGAAGGCGGATTCTTGTCGCATATCCTCATACTCTTCTGTCAACAGCCTAATTTCTTCTTCCAGTGCCTGGATTTCATCTTCATAAGCTCGAAAAATGTCCTCATCCATGTCTCAGCACCACTGCATAAAAAAAAAATAAGGATTTTTCTTAGGAGCAAAGAAGAAATCACTTTTTTAAAAACACAAATATAACATTAGGCAATTGTTTCAAGATACAGAGCACTACCAACCTCCAGACACAGAAGTTAAATCAGGGATCTAATGGAGTCAAAGGCTTTAAGAACCTTTTAAATTAGTCATTAACTGATCCAGGAGTGCACTGAGCTGTTTTACATTTGCTGTAATAGAACAACAGGTAAAAACCAACTGCAATCAGATACAATAACAGAACCCAGCATTGACCAATTGACCTAACGACTCACCTGGGCAGACGAGGCACAGCTGCTCCTAACGCAATCTGCCTTCAGAGTAAACAGCAACAGAGACACGAATTGCAAACATGTTTCACCAATAATTTAAAAAATAAACCTCAGTTTCCAGGAAAAATAATAACCTGACATTCAGCCTAGCTACAACACATTCAGAAGAATGTGAAAGATATATGCAGTTCAAAACTAATGTGCTAATACTTTTGACCAGGAAAAACCCAACATTTATTTTGTGTGTTTTTAAACCACCCTTACTCTATGTAGGGTAGTTTAAAATGAGGGGTGTTTAAAATATTTTAGCCCACCCCTACTCTATGTGGTGTGCAAGTTCCACACTAACACCGTTCAGTCAAAGGGGAAGAGGGGGAAATTGGATTTTATTAGTTTATTTCCTAGGAAGCAGTGCCTTTATAACACACATAGGAAAACAACATGAAAAGCACACTTTGCATTAAAAACTTACTTAGTGACTAAAGGAAGTATGTGCAATTATAACCACCCAGTCCTCACCAGATTTTTTTTGGACTGGATATGGTGAAGAAAGTAAAGTCATGGTCACAATAAAGAGTATAACGTGAAAAAGAAAAACATTACCACAGCCGGAACGTTACCCCAGGTCAGCTGATCCCTCCTTTAACAGCAGTAATAGGAGAGATAAATTACTTACAGCTACTTAAACTCAAAGACTTCACTAGGCAGCAGAAGACTCAAAGGCTAATTACTTCAAATATTTTATATCTAGAACAAAATGCCTACTCTTGAACCAAGTAAAGCAAAACTCTTACAAACAGCTCTCCTCTGATATATCATACGTGTGTATATTTATAAATACTTTGCATTAACAGCACATATTCCACATTTCTACGTACCTGCCTGTTTACACCTCCGAGTATTTGACTCTATGCTGCCCCAGGAGGAGCTGGGAAGCGCCTTGCAGCGTTTGTGCGAACCGAACCGTTCCGCGTCCGCTCTTCCCTGCGGGCCTTCAGCCCTTGGCAGGGCGCCGCTGAAACCGCCACTCGTCCGAGGAGCCGGGGCTGAGCCGCGCCCAGGCTCGCAGGTGCCGCAGGGGCGGAACGGGGTCCGAGCAGCGCAGTCGGGAGCCCGGGGAGCCCCGGCACTACGGACACCGGGCCCTGAGGGAGGAGCGGACGCAGCCGGCGCTCGGGGCAGGGCGGCGGGTGGACGCAGCCTCAGGGCGCTGACGGGCAGGGCGGCGGGCGGACAGAACCGGCGCTCGGGGCAGGGCGGCGAGCGGACGCAGCCTCAGGGCGCTGAGGGGAAGGGAGCGCTCGGACCCGGCGCGCACTTTTCGAACCGCGCGCCAACCCGCGCGCCTGGGCGCTACCACAGCTGCCGCCCGAGCGGGTGGCGCCGGCCGCGCCTTCCTTCCCCTCCTTGTCGAACAATAGAGCTGCTGGGGGTAATTCCCCAGCTCCTTATCATAAATGAAAGCAAAAAAGCCTCGCTTTGTCGGCTGTTCCCTTGTTCGCGTTGATTTTTGCTCACGGGTTCCGGAAAACACCCCCACTTCTCTTCCTCGTTAGTCACTTTCAAAGCGTCCGCCGTCACAGGACCCAGCCCCCGTGTTGCCGCCACACCTGACCGGCCGGAAACAGGAACCCAGCAGAGGCGAGCAGCCGATCAGAATGCAGCGGCAGCAGGAGGCGGAACTCTTTTTTCGAGCGAGGGCTGGGAAGAGTTGCGGGGGGAAGGTAAGGCCGGGGCGCTGCGGGGCTCGCACATGGCGGCGGTGAGGCCGGGCCGGGGGTCCCTCGGCATCTCCTGTCCTGTCCTGTCCTGTCCTCCCGCCACAGAGAACCCTTGGGTTATGTTGTAAAGAGCCTTTTGCGCTTATTTTCGCGCGTACACGGTTCAGTGTTTTAAAAAAAGCCCTGAACTCTGGTTTCGTGCAGCAGCGCGGGGTTTGCTGTCGCCGCTCTGGAACGGGGCGTGTTGCCCGCTGCAGCTCAAAGGAGCGCTCTGCTCATCAGGTGCTTCGTGGCTTTTTAATGCGCTGATTTGTCCGTGATTCGTTATTGCAATCACGTTGCTTTCCGTGAGTGTCACTGAGCTGTTTTGTCTCCTTGCAGGGGAACGGAGTGTGTGTCCTGGTGTGACACCTGGCTTGGCAGCATGGAGGAGGAACAGGTTTCCAAACGTCTCTATGTTGGAGGGCTTGGCCATACGGTTTCCAAAGCTGAGCTGGAAGAAAGATTTGGCAAGTTTGGGCGTGTATTGGACACAGAGATTATTACCAGGAAAGATGATCAGGGTAATGGTTTTCTTTCATGTTTTAAAAGTTATTTACTTTTCTCTTTGGAGTGTGAAATGGAATTTTTGCTTTAGAGACACTTCAGTTTTAAAGGAAATGCTGAAACTATATAAAATTAACTTAATGTTTGTCATTGACCAGGGAATCCTATGAAAACATTTGCTTACATCAGTGTCAACATTTCTGATGCAGATCTGAAAAAGTGTAAGTACTTTTTTGGTGGTGGGTTTTTTTTGTGGTTTTTTTTTGCTTAGTTATGTTTTTGAGCCAAGTTGCATTGCTGATAGCTCATCTCATGTTGTCACATCCAGCTGTGGTCATGGTAGAGCCTCTTTCATTTTCTTGTCAGGTTGATCTTATTTTCTTCAAGCTGCAGTTTTGTGGAAGCTGCTTTGTTGAAGTTTTCAGAAATTGCTGTGAGCAGGTTGAAAAGATTCCTTGTGACTGAAGTAGGTGATTTGTGAGTTTCAGAGACTCAGAGGATGGTCTGCCTTGGAAAGGACCTTAATGATCATCTCACTGCACCCCTGCCATGACAGGGGCTCCTTGCCCTGTCCCAGGCTGCTCCAAGCCCTGTCCATCCTGGCCTGGGACACTTCCAGGGATGGGGCAGCCACAGCTGCTCTGGGAACCCTGTTGGTTTGTTTGTTCTAAGCCTTTTATGCTTCATGTGCTTTCATCAGATCTATAAAATGCTGAAATTGATTTCTGTGAGAGGACACCCAGAAGAAGAGCTGATGTAAAGCTTCTTTTGCAACGTGCCCCTGGGTCTGGGGAATGCTGCCATTAGGCACTTTTGAAGGGAGAACTTCAGTTTTGGGTGTAAACCTGCTGGTTTAAGGTTTGGGTATTGGCCCTTTCAGATACAGCCCTAACCCAAGTGAGCAGTCAGGTGTAAGGTCATGCTGAGGCAACCTCAGGCTGTCATACAAGGAGGCCTAGTGAAGTTGTTTTTTTTTTAATGTAGAAAATACTCATTTCCCATCTTTGTTTTGCAGGCATATCAGTTTTAAATAAAACAAAATGGAAAGGGGGGACACTGAAAATTGAGTTGGCCAAAGAAAGCTTTTTGCACAGGTAGAAATCAATCTTTCCAAATGTATGTTGTTGCTAAAACTGCCTTTTTTTCTGCTTATCTGACGATGTTATGGCTGTACTTTCATCCTGTACCCTCTTATTGTTTCAGTTTTGATAGATTCTCTGGGCTGCTGGTTTACCTTTGATGCTGTAACACATTTTGCATCATTATTCCCTGGGAGGTGATGGGTGCTAATTCCCTGAGTGGGAATTAACAGTGGAACAGTGGCTGCTGTTCCGTGGGAGGGGATCACTGCCAGCTCCAATTCTGCACCTTTCTCCATGTCTCATGTACTTTCTGGTACAGGCTGGCCACAGAGAGGGAGGAAGCAAAGCTGCAGAAAGAAAAACCACAGAGAAGTGACCAAATGTCTCTGTTGGAATCACTGAAAAAAAAGGGGGTTGTGGACTTCCACATGAGAGCAGTACCAGGTACAGAGGTGCCAGATCATAAGGTATGGTGGGGTAGATGTATAAGTGTTTTATTCTATTATGATATATATTATATCAAAATGTTATATTAAAATATACTAGAAGAATAGAGAGAAAAGATTTGTCTGAAGGCTAGCAAGAACAGGAGAGGAATGAATAACAAAAAACAAAAGCTCCAGACTCTCAGAGAGTGTGAGCCAGCTGACTGTGATGGGCCATTAATTAGAAACAATCAACATGCACCAATCACAGCTGCACCTGTTGCATTCCACAGCAGCAGACAGTTTTTGTTTACATTTCTTTCCTGAAGCTCTTCAGCTAGAATAGGACAAAAATCCTAGCAAAGGATTTTTCATAAAATATCATGCCTACATATAAGAGAAATAAAACAACAACAAAAAGCAAGCTCATTGCATCTAAATTCATGCCAAATTTATGCTTTATGTAAAGAAACTACATTATTAAGAGTGACAGTCCAAGCTGTGGAAAGTACTCTGAGGAAATGCCTTGTGTGTAGACATGGAGAGGGCTCCTGTCATTCTCTGCAATGAAATAATCATGATCATACTGTCCACTATTGCCATGTGAAATGAGGAAATGCCCTGTTCCTCATTTGTACTGGGAATATCGTTGTGTCATCCTTAAAAGCTTGTAAAGGGACTTATTTCTATGCACCACATAACTTTTGGTGGCTGGGTTGGGCTTCAGCACAGGATCAGGGTCTGCCCATAATTACAAAAGAAAGAATAAAGTCACCTGACATGCAAACTTAGGCAACAAAATTTATATTTACTACAAACTTAATCAAAACTGTTTGCTAAGCACAGAATGGTTTTGGAGGGATTTTTAATTTTTTTTTTTTTGTGAGAAGGGGGAAAAGAGCAAAATAATAGTGATCCTGTCTTTGTAGGTACCACTGTTAATTCATAAACCAGAAAACCTGTGCTAAAAATAGGACTTGTAAAGAAATGTAGTTCTTCATTATGAGTCTTTTATTTGTAGGTTGTAGAAATTTATTTTTTTGGTTGACTTTGGTTTGTTTTGTTTTTGAGAAGGAGGCTGGCCAAGTTGCATGGTATGGCTCACTACAGAGAATAAAGAAAAAAGAATTAATCACATGTGGTCTTTATTAGTGTTTTTGTTATTCACAAATAAAAATTCATTTTATTCCAGAGTTACTTCTACTCTCTTTTTTTTTTTTAACACTGATTATTTTTCTTGTCTTTCAGAAATGGGTTGTTGGAAAATTTGGCAGAGTCTTGCCTATCCTGCACCTCAGGAATCAACAAAAAAATAAAATATCCTTTTCTGATAGTTTGGCCTTGAACACAATTCCCTTCCTTCTTTTGTCATAAGGAAAGACAGTTGCTTGACAGTCCTAATTTTTACTCCTCTGTCAAGCTTAATTTACTGAATCCCCCAAGTAAATCCTGCAGTAAGTTTGTGTGACTTGAGCAGTTGTTTTACACTGCACTCAGCTGCTTAAAGGCTTGTGGTCACAGCATGAGAAAGGATTCTTTGCCATCCTTTCCTGCAGGATTCAGCCTATTCATAAAGCCCTGAGTCTGCTGAAAGAACTGGGGGCTTTCAAATCCTTAACTCAGACTAACCTGGTGAAGTACGACCCTTCAAAGTATTGCCACAACCTGAGGAAGCTGGAGCCAGAGCTGGCCCATGCAGCTCCTGTATCCCAGCTCACCTGGAGCCTGGAAGGGGGAGATGACAGCGTGCCCAGGAAGCGGCCAGGGGAATTCCCTGGCACGAGGAAACCACCAGAGAAACGAAGGCGGCTGGGCAGAGAGGCCCTGAATGGAGCAGCTCTGTCCTCTGAGTGCCCACCACGTCCCAGACACACAGACTCACCCCAGCTCGGCCACAGAGCAAAACCCAAACCTGGTGAGGAGTCGGAATTGCCTCCTGCAAAGAGACTGGATGGGAAAATATCTAAAAATGCTAATGGAGTTACAGCCAAAAATAATACCAGTGTTTCTGATAGTGACATTGATTCTGAAGAGGAGATCAGGGCAATGGTAAAGAAAGAGGCAGAAAGACAGAAAGCTGAAAATGTTGAGACTGAAAGTGAGCACTTGGAAATTGTTGGGGATAATTTTGAGTTAAAATACAGTAGCCACTGGTCCTTAAGCAATTTGGATGCCATGAAGAAAGCTATCAAAGGAAGTAACAAAGAGAAAGAGACTGTGGAATGTGATAATGGTTATGATTCAGCAGATACAGATGAAATCATTGCTGAAAGTAAAACTCCAGAAGACTCTAAACAGGGGAGGGTGGAAAATAAAGAAATATTAGCTAAAAAACAAAGTGGTTTGGTAAATGGCTCCTCACTGAAACCTCGCAGTTTAAAAGAAGAATGCATTGAAAGAAAAGAGAAAATCAAGAAATCCAGAATGGCTGCCTTGCAGAGTACAGCAGCCAGCAGTACAACAGAGACATGTGATAGTGACAGCTCTTGTTCAGAGTCTGAGAAAGGGGAGTCTGAAATCAGCTCTGATTATGAGTCTATGATGCAAAACTGTTACCGCTTAGACCTTACCTTGGATGACTTAAAGGCATTGGCTACAGAAAACACTGGGACACCTGCAGAGTGGTCAGGCAGTGAACAGAGTCCTTGTCAGTCCAGCGTTGAAGATAATCCCAAGGATAATACTGTAAATAAACCAAAACCTTCTAAATTTCACCCTGCAGTTAAAAAAAAACCCATCTGTCCTGGAGATGTGCTGGCTGATATTTTAGCAGGGGAGGAGGACGCTGTTAAGGAAAGCTCCAAGGGACAGAATAATTCACATTTGAAATATCAGCCCTTCAGAGGAATAGGGTCCCTTTGTGTAAAAGAGTTAAGTAAGGACAGCACTGGCTTAAAGAAGAAGTCTGTAGAAAGTTTGGGAGTTGAAGCTTGTACATCTTATTTTGGGGAGGAGTCATCTAAAAATCAGCCAAAGAACCATCCTTTGTGTTCACTTGAAGTCAGCAACAAAAAGAGACACAAAGTGCCTTTTGAGCAGCATGAAGAACTGTCAGCTGCTGCCTCCTCAGCAGGTCAGAGACTTCAGCCTGGTTCCAGGCCTCATTTGCAAGGGAAGAACAAAGGTGTGAGTTCTCTACAAGACCAAAATTTGGAGCACAGAGCTGCTGCTGCTAGTACTGATCATGGTGATGGGAGCAGTGGCATGGACAGTGATGCTGCAGGAGCCCAGGAGCATGTTAAACAGCAGCTGAAGAGCCCAAAACTGCTTTCCAAAACTTTAAAGAGGAATACGAGCAAAAAAACCCCAGAATGTGAAAGTAATAAAGGCGGGAATGGGAACACAGGACTTCTAGAAGATAAGGAGCCTTGCCTTCGAGCTGCTGCCTCAAAGGAACCCAGTACAATAGAGAAACAGCTCCAGGACAACCAGAGGAGGCTGGCAGCTCTGGAAGAGAGACAGAGAGAGAGGGAATTACAGAAGAAACTTATTCAAGGAGCCCTTTCAAATCTGGTAATTACAACTTCTGATTGAATAGTACACAATACAAGGAAGAGGGTAATTAATACATATGGAGTAAAATGTTATAAAATCATAATCTGGGATTTCTAATGACATTGCCAGTTTTCTTTTGAGAGTATACAAAATGCTGCATACCTCCTCCCTGGAATACCTGTAGAGTTTCAAGAGGAGTAGCAGGTTCCTCTTTTTGTGTCATGAAAACATCTTTCAGATAGTTGTGTCTGAGTGCAGCGGGTCTTTGGCTTGACATTTGACTCTTCTCTAGGACAGGCAGCCAGCAGGACAGCACAAACACATCATATTTGATTCTGATGTGGAAGACGAAGCTGAAGTGGATGAGATGTTGGAAAAGGATGCAAGTTTGAGAAATGGGCATGGAGAAGTAAGTGTTACTGGGAAAAAATCAGTATGACATAATCAGAAAGTTGAATTTTTATACCGAACTGTCTCATATTGTAACGCCTGAGTTTTCTTTTGCATGGGTATTTTGCCTGTGGGAAAACTGAATAGTCGTAAGTGTAAAGCAGAATTGTACAAGGTGTGTGGACAAGGCAAGATTTGAAGCACATGGGTCAGGAAGGGAGCTGGTTGTGCAAGAAATCTGCTTTATCAGCTAAACTGGAGAGCACATGAACAAAGTTTGTACTGATTTACATCCTCAAACTTATGTGAACAGCTACTTTTCTCTTCTTCTCTGTTTGTGTAACAAAGGATAAGTCAGCTGCCAAATCTTCGAGCAGACTGTTTGAGAGCAGTGAGGATGAGCAAGAGGATACGGATGATGAGCGATTCAAAATTAAGCCCCAGTTTGAAGGCAAAGCTGGTGAAAAAGTGAGTGAAGCCATTACTGTAATTTAGTTTTTCCTCTAGGTCTCCATAGCACCGCTTCAGAAGAATATAACCCGTGTCTTTTCATTCTTGCTGAATATGATTTTTATAAACTTACAACAGAATTCCCTTAAAGGAAGGGCATAATGTGTGGTGGGGAGTGGGAGCAGTTTCTCTGATATTGTCATCTTCATATACAAAGAAATTGCTGGAAAAGGCATCAAAAGCTAAACATAAAGAGTATGTTGCCATTGTTATAGTAAAAAAAAAAAAGTTACAGAATTATTATTTTCTTCTCCAGTGCTTAATAGCATCTGTTTCATTTGTTCAGCTCCTGCAGCTGCAATCTCGCTTTGGCACTGATGAAAGGTTCCGCATGGATGCTCGATTCCTTGAGAGTGATAGTGAGGAAGAAGGTAAAGCTGATCACATTTCCTGGTTACTGGTGGCCATAGAGCCTTCCAACAGCCTTTCTTGTTACTGGGATCTTGTGTAGAGCATCTGTCAGTGGCAGGGGGGTTGCACAGTTGTGTGATATAATCAGGGAATGGGTTAAATAAGTGCTCTGACTTGACCATGAAAAAGATGCCCGTGACATTTCTAATGAAGGGTTTTCTACAGTGCAAGGCAGAAAACCTTCAAGTAGCTTCAAGATAAAAGGAAGTGATGTGTTCATAGATGTGAGCTCTTCTAATACTGTCGTAAATGTTATGCATCCCACATTACAGGCTTAGCAGAGTAAATCGAATGTATTTATTTTTCTCTTAGCAGAGGCAAGCAGCCTGAAGGCAGGTGAAGAAATGGAGCTTGCTGCGGAGAAAAAGAAAAATCTGCAAATACTGGGAAACCTCCTGAATATCAACCTGGAGCAGCCCAAGCCAGATAAAACAGTCACAAGTGTGAAGAAATTCAAGTATGAATCATCCGCTGTCAGTAAAGGAGGCTTAGGAAGGGAGGCTGAAAGACCCTGAAATCTTTGAATTTTGGAAGATGGGCATAAAGGGTTCTTGTGTGTTGTTTTTGGTTTTTTGCTCCTTTAGACTATTTGAATTTATGCAGTGTTTGGTACTAGAAGAAATATATCCACATCTGTATGGAGAGCTGTTTTTATGTAGCTCCTCAAGAGATTATCAGGTGAAGGTATAAATTCACGGCATAACACACAAGTGATGGCTGTGTTTTATCAGAAAGATCACAATTTGATTAAATCCACTTCTCGTTATGTTTCCTGACCCAGACACTGACTAGAGGGTGCTTTCTAACTGCCAGTTACATTTTGGATCGATTTAGGTGTTGTTTGGTAAAGGAACTAATGTGAATCTTGCTCTGAATGTAAAATTTTAAGGTAGCTTTCATTTTGGCATTTAGATTGTACACTGGTGTTTCTTTGCCTTTCTCTTTTATAGAGATATTAACGCCCTCCGTTATGATCCAACAAGAGAGGACCATGCAGTTTTTGAAAGGAAACCAAGTGCTACAGAAAAGGAGAGGTAGTATTACAGCTTGCTAACTAAAATTGTGTTTCTTGCCATTGAAAAATGGTTATAGCAACCAACGGAGTTTGAAACTATGTAGATTGGCCTGATTATAATTTAGTTCTCTCACTAAAATCAATTATGTAGCTCCTCAAGAGATTATCAGGTGAAGGTATAAATTCACGGCATAACACACAAGTGATGGCTGTGTTTTATCAGAAAGATCACAATTTGATTAAATCCACTTCTCGTTATGTTTCCTGACCCAGACACTGACTAGAGGGTGCTTTCTAACTGCCAGTTACATTTTGGATCGATTTAGGTGTTGTTTGGTAAAGGAACTAATGTGAATCTTGCTCTGAATGTAAAATTTTAAGGTAGCTTTCATTTTGGCATTTAGATTGTACACTGGTGTTTCTTTGCCTTTCTCTTTTATAGAGATATTAACGCCCTCCGTTATGATCCAACAAGAGAGGACCATGCAGTTTTTGAAAGGAAACCAAGTGCTACAGAAAAGGAGAGGTAGTATTACAGCTTGCTAACTAAAATTGTGTTTCTTCCCATTGAAAAATGGTTATAGCAACCAACGGAGTTTGAAACTATGTAGATTGGCCTGATTATAATTTAGTTCTCTCACCGGTGGCTAAAATCAAGATATAATAGGAATTCTGACCACCAAAACCAACATATACTGTCATCTTTATTCTAGTCCATCTGTTTTCGGGATTCCATTTTCTGTTCTCACTGAAGGTCAGAAAGGTCAATTCAGGGACTTGAAGATTTGCAGGACTGTGAGAAAAGCTTAAGAAATCTGTGTAAAGATTGATCAGATTAAGAAATCTGTGCTAAATACCTTGATTTCTGTGTAACCCTGTACTCAGTGACAAGTCCCTTAAGGATGTGGCTAATGGAAAAGGACTCTTGTTCCTGCCTTTAGACTCCAACCTCAGATGTTTCCCCACTGCTTAGCCTTGAAAGTGAACCACTCCTTAATGGGCTTGGATCCGGTTAGGGAGACATTCAGAGCAAGGTGGCTCTTGCGGAAGCTGTCTTTGGAGAGGACGTGTGCTGTGTTGCTATCCTTGAGCAATCTCCTTTCAGGAAAGCCAAAAGGAAGAAGAAAGAAGAGAGTGAGACACTGCCTCAAGTGTCTGAAGAAATCTATTATGATATTGCTGCTGATTTGAAAGACTTGTTTGGACATTCAATGAGCAAACCAGAAAAGACTGTGGAAATACCCTGGGACAAAGAGGACGCACAGGACTCTGCCGCAGATGACCATTTGGGACCCTTGCCTGAGAAGGACGCAGCTCAGGAGTGGAGTGCTTTCAAGTTTTCCTTCTTTGGAGACACAGAGCAGTTGGGCATCAAAAAAGGTAATGGCAGAATGTGTAAGAGATCCCTAGAAAAAAGTGGAAAATACTGGAGCAGAGATACAGCTCAGAAAATCTAGGAGGATACATTCTGTCCTTCCAAAATCTGTCTTTTCAACAGTAAGTATTTCACTTCAATTATTAATTTTTCCTGGCAAGTATAGATATTTTCTAGCAAAATTTGCTACCCTTACTTGTGGCCAAAATAGTGGTGGAATCCCATGAGCAAGTCCTGGTAAAATACATGTCAAGCAGATTTCTGGCTTACTTTTCTTTCAGATATTTGGCTAATAGGAATCTGGACTTATAGAGTGTGTGAAAAACAATTAGTCACTTGACAGGTTACCTAGACATTTTGGATCCTTGCAGACATATCTTAGTGAATGGCAATCTTACAACCTGTCTGATTTACAGGGTGTGTTGAAACGGAGAGCTCAGTCCTCAGCAGGCCTCAATGCTGGGGGAGGATGCAGGGTCCTGGTGCTGAGCTTCTAAGGGAACGGCTGTGATTTCCCTGCAATTTAGATTGCAGCGTGTTGAGGAGAACTGCTGCCTTTCATTGTTCTTAGTACACCAGGCTGCAGCAGGGAGCATTTCTGTTGGAGCCAAGGTGTGGTGGGGGGCAGGAGAACAGGAAGGAGGCGGAGAATTGAATTCTGACTTTCTTACTGCATTGTTATGAATGTTAGAAGCAGCAGCACAATCAGAAGTGTTTAACCCTGTTAATTGGTTGTTTGTTTTGTGCAGAGGGCCCAAGATTATTTTGTAGATCACTGGAGCTCAGTGAAGAGAAAGAGGGTTGGGAAGACAGACGCAGATTATTGCTAGAGGTGAGTATGGAACGTCTGTTCCCTGGTAGCTCTAGGCGAAAGCTGAGCATGGGGAGGGAATGCAGGTATGAATGTGCATGCCAAATTAATTTGGGACCTCAAGAAGAATTTGCATCTTTGCAAATACCATGGAACAAATGTTTTTTTGTATACTCTTTTGTATAACAACCTGTTGTATTGTCCATTCATGTAAAGCACTGCATCTCTCTATGTTACAGGAGCAGCACCTTAACTATCTGTAAAGAATGTATTTAAGAGATAGAGAGAATTTAGCGACTTTTCCTAATACTGTGTTGGATATTCACTGTTTTCAGGAATGCAGGAAGAAGCACAAGGATGCCAGAAGAAAAGTAAAAGCAAAACAATAAAGTTCCACTCAAAGCTCAGAAGCTTTTCTTTTTTCTTCCTTCATTGAGCTTCCAAACGAGGTTACTTTCAAAATCCTTTCAAAGACCGAACAGGGAAAACCTCTAACAGTCCCTGTTAGGCAGTGTTTTGGAGC